TTCCCACATGGCAAGGCCGGTCACGCCAATCGTGACTAAGGCAATGCCGACCAAGGGAGAGACGCGCCGGAGAAATCCGCCACCGCTTCCAGTGCGTCAGCCTCTGCCTCCGGCTCAGCCGAAAACACGGCGAAGGAGCGCACGCGACACACGGTCAAGACACCAGCCGCAAAAACAAACATCTCAGCGGGCCAAAGAACTCTTTAAAGACGCTGACGCGGCTAAAGAGGTTTATTCTCAATTCACACAGGAATTCACTAACATTCAGTGGTTCTAGCGGCCCGAACGTTTGATATCTGCGGCTCCGGTGATGCCATGTACTGGTGCCATCCGTGCGGATACGCTTACTGTCTTAATTGCCGCTCTCACGGCAAAGCTTGTAAGCATCATGGAATCATATTGTCAACTACTCTTCTGAGTTCGGAGACCAATTCATGCCCGACAGTAGTGGTTCTAAAGATTCTCCTTTTGACATCGGTGAATTGATTGACAGTGTGTTGGGACAAACCGCATTTTTCGGTGCCAACAGACATGAACAAAGTGAAAACCAACAAGAAGCTTTCGAAGATATTTTTGAGAAATTGAGCGAGGGCGCAAAAGTCGGTAACACTTATTTTCAGTCATTTATGCAACATCGCGTCCAAGATTTTCCATTTGCAGACTTTGTGTACCAACCAGCCGAAAACCGGCAGGTACCAAGCCTTGAAGAGCATTATGTCCAAGCACAGGACCAGACGAGCCCATTGCCGATCTGGCGACCTGAGATTATGCTCGACTGTCAACACCATGACCTCACCGATGATGAATTTTATCAATTGTTAGAAATTTTCAGTCGTTGCCTTATGGGTAAGATAGCAATCTCCGGCGCACCGACCCGAAATACAGGCAACGTCGACAGTAGCCAAAAAGATAGTTATCATCTTGGCATCCTGACGTAGAACTTAGGTGAAATTAACCGTGAGCCGTATAGTATAGCGGCGGTAACAAACGATTCCCGTCTTATTTTCGCAGAGATAAGGACTGTCGAGTGCTGCCCCATCTAGTTTTTAGAAATAGCGCACACATCATAGCGCTCTGCGTGGCCACTGACGATCATGGAGGTATCTCCTATCACCAAAAATTTGGCAAAGGAGCGCTCAATGATAGGAATGGTGATCAACGCCGAAATCACGGCTCCCACTTGCACTGTTTGCCCGCGGCAGCCATGAAGTAGGCACTTTTATCGATCTTTTAGCCCTTGCAATACCAATCGGAAACGGAAAACAAAGAACCTAAGAACCGTTTTTGGCTCTTACACGGTTGCATTTTCCGAGTTGCCTTCGGCCGCGAAACATCCGGACAGATGTTAAATTTATGTAAATCCTACATCAGGCATTCGCATCAAAAAGCCGGAAGACCTGGAACCCAACATGGACGCCGCCATTAAGCCGCATCCAAGATTCTCCAGAGGCAAATATTTGTGAAATTGATGGCCTTTGTAATGTTCAAAGTGCCGAACTGCTGAAGCCGACAACCGGTGCAGATACACACGATGTGCATCGTCTTGGCTTATAGGCGAAGTACGTGTAGCCGTCTTCCACGCATCGTCGTGGGCTTGGAATCATTTATATTCTGAATGTTGTGAAAAATGGCTTCATTTTGTTGCAGCTTGTGTCGAGCAACAAGCAGAATTTATCACAGGTGATGGAAACCTGTTTGCCCAACGAAATATTAAACGTGATGATCATTCCGACTATACCGGAGTTGCATCATGATCGACATTCTTAAACGCTTTCTTGTGCATATTATATAACCTGCATCGTAGTGCTTTGAACAGAATTTCTTACAATTTGGTTTCATCCATGCACTCAAGCCGGCCAATATATCCGTTCGATGGAAATTGTGATTCAATGCTTATTCTCAGAGGTCGCCATGAATCCGCTCCCGCGGATCGCATCGCCGGACCGGCCCTTCATGATGAAATTATTTTGACAGATGTGGAACAGGCGAAACACCTGATGACCTACGATCTCGGTTTGGCAGAAAACCGATGCCGCTTGGCATTCCCCTAATTTGATGACGTTTGCCACCATGCGTGTGATGAAAAATATGCGGGTTATGCCGAAAATCGGCGTCGCGAAACATGGCAAGAACAGAATGCACAGTACAGGCAGAATCGTGAAGACCAACGAGAAGAAAGAAGAGAAAGACACGACAGTGCTCCACCGGAGATACATACCGAAATACGGATACCCGTGCCAGACGTAGAGAATATCTATGAGCCGAAATCCCAGCCAAGATCGCACACCATTTCGACAGCGACGCGCTCCACCGCGGCCTCCGCCGCCAAGACCCAGTCCTAGAGGATCAGCCGAGCCTGCACGAGGCTCAGGGTATCGAGGTGGCACCGCGCCACCATGGCGTGAGCATGAACGCGGACGTGATGATCGCCGCCAGCGATCTGAGACACCGCCAACACGTAGCACCAGAAGTAGAACCGAAAAGCGGTCAAACCAAGGTGCATCGTGGACGAACACAAGACGCCAGACGTGCCAAGAGGCACCCAACGTGCCTGAACCTCCTGCACCTCCACGAAGACAGTCAGGCGCACAATGGCTCAATACAGGCGCATGGCAGAATGTGCCAGAACCACCTCAAATCAACCGAAATACCGGTCGAGGTTATTTTCAGCCACCATAGTATCGTTAAAATCTAAACACCAGCGCAGTTGAATATATTCCTGGTTATCAAGCACCATACGACAGATGGCTCCGACGACCGGACGGCACGTGGTTAGATCTTCTACCACAAACGCCAGACCAATCAATTTATTTCAATATGCCTAGACGGCAGCGCCGTGACAACGAGCTTTGGTTATATGGATACATTTTTACTATGGGTCTTTGAATCACCGAAACTTGGCATGAACTGATCTCAATATTCCATCAACTGAAAAAGCATGAGCCAAAATCACGGTCAGCAGTAGCAGCATCCGTGTCTTCGGACACGTTTCACTGCAGAGCATAAGCTGAGCGCTTCTTATGCGTGAAAAGTTTTGCGCATGTTACGACACGAAGAAAATTTGTGTCTGTTTGTAAATGTTTGTAATCTATTTTTGGGGACGTGTCTTCGCAATGCATGCTTACAATGTTGCATGTACATGACATGTTCACATTAATTCATGTGGACCACTGCGCCACTCCGTGGCTCAAGACTTGTTTGCATACCGCAGCAAAAAGGTGTAGCTTGCCACCGTGTTGACCATAAGTGTTCAAACGTAGATACGTAGATCCAGGGCTTCTTCAATAAGGGGATTGCTACCTCAAAGCCCCCCCCCCTGGCAGGCCCAGGTTCGATCCCCCTCACCCCCCCAGGTCGCCCCCGAGCCCCCCCCCTGAGAGGAGATTTCCGGCTGGTAGAGGGTCATCATCCTCATCTTCATCTTCATCCTCACCCTCCTCATTCTCATCCTCATCATCCTCATCATCATCCCCATCATCCGCAGCATCCACATCATCATCATCCTCATCATCCTCTTCGTCCTCCTCATCGTTGATCAGCATCCTCATCCCCTGGTCCTGCTGGGCCATTGGTTTCCTGCAGGTATAGGGTCGTCCTCTTCAGTATTTCATCTTCAGGACGTCATGTTCAGTAAACCAATCAACAACTCTATAGAATCATCATCGGAAACTTGCCGGCTTTCAAATGATAATAATTATCTTCCTCCTCCTCCTCGTCATCATCAGCATCATCATCGTCATCATCATCATCATCATCATCACCAAAAATCCTCATCATCATCCTCATCCTCATCCTCACCCTTATCCTCATCCTCCATCCCCATCTCCATCCTCATCCTCATCCTCATTCCCATCCTCATCCTCATCCTCATCATCGTCCTCCTCCTGCTCCTCATGATCATCATCATCATCATCATAATCCTCATCATTCGCAGCATCCACATCATCATCAACAACATCATCATCCTCATCATCATCCTTATCATCATCATACATATGTTGCATTGTCTGCAACATCTTTATGCAGATTCGGGCTTCCATTTGCGGGGCGTTTTTGTTTGTTTGATATTGCGTTTCTTTTGCTTACAACACTTGGCGAGAGACGATTACTGCATTGGGAGGTTTTCGCTTGCTGGACTCAATAGATTGTGCAACCCTACAACAGCCCTGCTCATCAGAATCACCATCCTGATTTTCATCTTCATTCTCAGTCTCATCCTCAGCATCCTCATCATCCTCATCATTCCCATCATCCTCATCATCCCCTTCGTCCTCATCATCGTCGTCATCAACTCATTCCTGTTACCATCACTTTCGTCATTATCAGTTTCCTTCATCGTTCTGGTCAGCAACCTCATCAACATCAAAAGATTGGCACTGCTTGTGACTTGCAGCAGGTCCAAAAAACCACGTGAGAACCGTTGCCGCATTCCGACTTCACCTTGCTAATCCCCCTTTACGATTACAACCCTAATTACCCCAGCCCTCTGCTAGCTTTGGTACCTCCCCCCTGTCCTTAAGTATGAAGCGGCACGCATGGAATTACGATTTATCAATCAAACCAGACAAAAACATTTTGACCAACCGTCTGCCGTGGACCTTCGTAGATTCGTAGACCTTCGTCAAGAAAAATCGGTTTCCCTTAGCGCTGAATTCAGTCGATTTTGCCTCTATTGGCCTTCCAGGGATATGCCAACGCGTGGCGCAATCCAGATTTTTTTTTCGATGACCCAGAGATCCATAGACAAGAGCGGAACTTTCTAAGGGTTCGCGAAGCTTGGCGAAGCCGCCCCATGCGTAATCGTCATATGGTTTCGTTCGCATATGTACGAATGAGTTTTCAAGATCTAACCTTTCTTAAAAGGTGGTGGCCAAGGCGCCGTTCCCAATAAGCCGGTCCCGGGTAGCGCGTAGCCCCGAAACAGCCCAAAAAACTATGTCCGGCTTTGCTGAAACGTCGGACGCATATGCCCGGCTGCGCATGTGGCCGCGCTCTTCAAGGAGACTGGAAGCAGCTTTGGGCATTCGGAAAGTACACCATTGACGGCGACGGGTCGCCACAAGGATCGCAACTCGGCCAGAAGAAATGAAACGCCCAAAGAAAGCAGAATTTGGCGCTCGGTGTGCTCTGCACTGTTCAAAGTAGCAGAGCCCGTGCAGGCAACAATTAGATGAGTCATGATCGTGAATCATTCTGGACCACATTGAATTTTTGTTGCATATAATATGCATTAATATGCCACATCTTGCTGATGCAGCATTGAACAGATGCATATACCACAATGATGTGTAACGAATTCCCGTTGGCGTGGGCTCTGTGACCTGGGACGCCGTTTCCTGGAGGCCCTTTTTCATAGAGGACAAATGAGTGTGCCAGGTCAGTTTATATGTCTTGCACCGCGCTCCGAAAGAGCCCTTGGGTTGTTGGATGCTCCTTCGCAAGGCTAGGTTGACCACTGCCGGGTGCCAAGCATGGGGTAGCACTATGCAGGATCAGTTGGTCCAGATGGGGGGGTTCCCACTATGGCACAGCTCTCCCATTCCAAAGATTGTGTTCCACAGCATCCAACGGCAAGCCACCACCACAACCACCACAACGACCGCAACCACCGCAACAACCGCAATCACCACCATCACCATCACCATCACCATCACAACCACCAGCAACGACGACAACGACGACGACGACGGCGGAAGCGGCGACGACGACGACGACGACGACGACAACAATAATGACAACGACAACGACAACACCATCAAGAACACCAACAACATGAACAACTCCATCAACAACAACCAACACGAACACCTCCATAAACAACATAATTAAACAACTCTGTCAACGACTGCCAAGAACCACCAGCAACCGTCAGCAACCACTAACACAACCACCAACAACGACAGAGCACCGACAACAACGAACAACCACCAACAGCAACTTCAACAGCAACACCGGCAACAACACCAATACCAACAGCAACACCACCAACAACATCAACAGCAATATCAAAAACACAATCACCAACAGCCACCGCCACCATCACCAACACCACCAGCACTAACACCAACACCAACAACCGCCAACAACCACAACCACCAACACCGACAGCCATAAATCATCGAAAACCATCGTGAACCACCGCACACCATGGCAAACCATCGAAGAACATCAAAAACCGCCACCGCCGCCGACAACCGCTACAACCACAGCCACAGCCACTTGCAGAACCACAGCCACTAGCAGGACCACTAGCAGTCACTCGCAGAACCACTCGCACAACCACAGCCACAGCCACTAGCACAACCACTAGCGCAACCACCAGCACAACCACTAGCGCAACCGCTAGCAAAATCACTAGCGCAATCACCGGCACACCCACTAGCACAACCACCAGCCCAAACACCAGCACAACCATTAGCCACTAGTGCAGCCACTAGCACAACAACATCCACTAGCACAACAGCAACGACAGCGACAGCGACAACCACAACCACATAAAAACACCGCAACGTCAACGTTAACATCAACATCAACATCAACAATCGAGGACGACGGCGGCGGCGGCGACGACGAAGATCACGACGACGACGACGACGACGATGGCGGCGGCGGCGGCGACGACGACGACAATGACAACAGCGACACCAGGGACAACAGCGACAACCACAACAACAACAGCAACAGCAACAGCAACCGTACCAGCACCAACACCAGCCCGAGCAGCAGCAACAGCAATAGCAACAAGCAGCAACAACAACAAAAACAGCAACATCAGCAACAACAGCAACAACAGCAACAGCAGCAACAGCAGCAACAGCAGCAACAGCAACAACACCAACACCAACACCAACAACAACAACAACAACAACAACACCAGCAGCAGCAGCAGCACCAGCACCAGCACCAGCAGCAACAGCAATAGCAACAGCAACAAACAACAGCAACAACGACAAACAGCAACAACGACAAACAGCAACAACGACAAACAGCAACAACGACAAACAGCAACAACGACAAACAGCAACAACGACAAACAGCAACAACGACAAACAACAACAACCACAACAGCAACAACAACGACAACAACATCAGCAACACCACCACCACCACCAACAACAACAACAACAACAGCAACAACAACTACAACAACGAGAAGAACAGCAAGAACAACAGCAACAACAGCAACAGCAGCAACAGCAGCAACAACAAAGACAAAGAGAAAGAACAACAACAATCAACACAGCGACAACAACAACAGCAAACAAACAAACGAACGAACAAACAAAGAAACAAACAAACGACGAAACGACCGAACCGCTGGACGACCGAACCAACAAACGAACCAATTTGTGGTTCCAACTCGCAGAGTCACATCTTTTGGATGTCTATGTTGCTTTGAACATTGGGATTAGATGCATTTGAGAAGAAAATAAATATCCTACCAAGACACTCATGAATCATACATTTTTTGGGATGTTTATGCTAGATTGAACATTGGGATTAAACGCGTTCAAAAACACAATAAACGAAATACAGTATCTTATCAAGTTTTATGAATCATGCTTTCACATTGCGCTTTGTATTCGCAGAACAACATCCTTTGGACGTTTGTGTTAATTTGAACTTTGGGGTTAGATGAGATGTGTTTTAGAGCAAAAAATATCTTACCCAGACGTACATGAATCATGCGTTCACATGATGTTATGATCTCCCAGAATCACATGCTTGGGCATGTTCATGTTCCTTTGAACATTGGGGGTGTTACATGCGTTTCAGAACAAAAAAAAATTTTTGCCAAGACATACATGAATCAAACGGTCGCATTGTGTTTTGAATTCACATACTTGGTGGTTGCTTTTTACTTTTGGTATTTGCAAGTCACCTATGGAACTTGCTGGACATATAGAACGTGCAAGTTGGATTTAGCACACTTACAAGATAATTTTCCAAATTATGAACATAATTTGCCGAAGTTGGACTTAGCAACTTCTCAGAGGTATTCTAAGTGAAAATCAATTTTTCCAATCACCCAATACCATTTGTTTCTCCTTTTTTCCTTTTTGGTAAAACAAAAAACATCAAAAAACAATGATAAATCTATGCTGTTTTGGATGTTTTTGAAGATCGATTGTTTTTGGCATGGTGACAAGAATATGTGGAAACTTTAGATTTCCACCACTTGGAAAGTGCAGCTCTGTCTAGATGAGCACATGTGTACAGGAAAATGTGAAGGTTGTGAGATCTGGAGCCACTGCGGCCAAGTATGCGGACTATCACATGTGATCCATGGTTATTCTGGTTCTTTCTTTTGGATTAAATTAAATTTACTTACCAAGCCTGTTACATTTTCCTGCGGCCTATTGGGCCGCACGACGGATTGCAAAGACACATTACATAAATTACATCAGAAACTTGGTCACAATTCCAAAACCTGGAGAAGAACTACAGTAATTTGAAATATGTGTTGAACGGTTTATTTGCAAAACGTATCGGTACGAGGTGTCGAGCATTGATCCCCTCCTTCCTCCCTGAGAGTGGAAAATTGCATGCCATGCAACTGGTGCTCTCAGAAAAAGTTGCGGGTGTGTAGCCATGTGTAGCCATGTGCAAAACCAAATAAGACCGGACTCACAAGTGTAAAACAAAAAAAACAATATTTACGCGTGCAAAACAAAATTTACACGGGAAAAAAAAACAAAACTGGAGTTCCACATGTGTAGCCATGTGTATTTTTTTTGCAAACACATGATAAAATCGTGTTGTGTGTGTGTGTTGTAAAGCAATGTTTCCGAGAAAAGCGCTGATAATTTTCCTGGCGTGCTCACGGCTCACACTACTCCAAGCTGAAGACTTGTCATTTTAAAAACATGTGAAACCTCAGCGTCCACCTACTTCTTCACAAACTGCTGTCTTTGAGCGGTCACAGCAGCATCACACGTGATGCGGCGGGTTTGCGTCAACAAAATATTCACCCTGCTAACAGGGGTGCAAAGGCATGACATTGGGAACCCGCTCGCCAAACTGAGAGTAAATTTGTGGCTCAAGGGAGCCGCACCGGAACAATCTTGAGTAGCAAAGACTTTTGCACAGTTTGAAAGCCACAACGTGATTTGAGGCACAAATGCTCCATGTCAGGCTGCGCTTTCCAAGAGAGATCGTATACTATCGTGTTTCTTTAGTGTCAAAAAAAAAAAAACTCAAAAAATAAACAAGTTAAGTTGACTAAGTATTTTATAAACATGTTACGTATATTTTTGTTGTTTTCTGAGAACGACTTAAAACGTTCGTAAAACATAAGTTTGGCTTTTGACTTGCAAGTGCTGCAGCTTCACTTTCAAATTACAGCCTACTTACCGCACTTACAACATGTTGGGTTGACGGGGGGGGGTTAGCCCGAGTTCAGCTGTGTTGAACTCTGGCAAAGTATTCTCCACTTCATCATACTGTCCATGTTAGAAAACTGCGTTTTCGCCTAGGCGGCGTATCTTTTTTTGTGGCATCAATTCATTTGCCTTCTTGTTCATTGCGAAATATGATCTCCTTTGTTCATAGACACGTGTATGAACTTTTCGATCATTTTTTTGAAAATCTGAACGGATTTTTGAACCCTTACAGTAGATCGTCGCGTTTTTTCGTCTTGAATTTCACTCCTTTCATCACACTCATGTCTAAAGTGGGTTGTAATTTTTCATTTTTTTCCATGTGTCATCTGTCTAACCAGGAACACTCATGTCTAAAGTGCGTACCATCAACAACGAGAGCAAGTCACATGAAACGTCAACATCCCCCCCCCACCCCAACCCGCCAGCCCCCAACAGTCACCTGGCCTCTCTCATCCTGACGGGGAGGATAGCCCAGTGCAGCAAGGTCAGGAATTTCTGGGCTAACCCCCCCCGTCTACCCAACATGTTGCAACCTAATTGCAAGTGGGCTGCATCTATACATGCAGGTACAGGCAAGTGCTCTAAACGAAAAGCAACCACCAAGTAAGAACGTTTTCTTGGGTGTTTATGCTACCTTGAACATTGGGATTAGATGCGCTTTAGAACAAAAGAGGAAAGAGATACCTCTCCAAGACATACATGAATCACGTGTTCACATTGTGTTTTGAATTCAGAATGTTTTGATGTTTATGTTACATGTTCATTTGAACATTGGGATTAGATGTGTTTTAGAACAAGAAATATGTTACCGGCACATACATGAATCATGTGTTCACATTGTGTTTTCAACTCACAGAGTCACATCATTTGGATGTTTATGTTCATTTGAACATTGGGATTAGATGCGGTTCAAAGCAAAAGAGATATCTTACTCGTACCAACACATACATGAATCATGCGTTCACATGGTGTTTTGATATCGCACTTTATCGTTTTGCTAGTAATTCTGCCTAGTTCGAAACCATTGGGGCGACTTGCGTTCTCTTGGTGTTTTGTAAGTTTGTTTTTTGTTTTTTGTATTGTTTACAGTTTTGTTCTGCGTTTACAATGAGCGAAGAAGTTGGGGCGACTTTTCCTAGCAGTTGTGGGGCATAGTTCCATGCGGGAATGACAGCTGACTCCAACGTTGGGGGAAGTTCGCCGGTTGTGTGTAGTGGTATGTACTTTGACGTATAGTGGCAGATTCAAAGCTACTGACAGACCGAACAGGATTCTTTTGCTGGACGCAATTGACAGACGTAGTTTCTTCAAGGCCGTCATTCCACGTCATGAGAGAAGGTTTGGCTGAACAGTTACAAACACACACGCTTGGATTGGACAGACACGACCAGCAACCGAGCCTCAACATCGTGTGACAATGATTATGTGGGGTAGAGGGCGCAGTAGTTGCTATCCCAGGCATTATTAGCAAGGGTTGAGTGTGCACGCACCAAGTGGAAGAGAAGGTGTTGCTGTTGGGATGGACGGGTTACGAGCCAGCAGCCTAGGTAGCAATCAGGCAGCAGAACTGGAGGTCAACCGGCTGCCATGGAATCTAGTGGCTCGGCGCTTCAGAGATGCACCTTTGTGCGATCGATCGATCAGTGTACAAATCGCTTTATGGAGGAAACGTTTTTTTGTTCGGCAGATTAGTAATAGTTTCTGGGGTTTGCGCTTCACATGCAGGAACCCCCTCCACTGTGCCGCGGCTCTAGATGTGAGGGCATCCTGTACTTACGTTGACTTGTGTGGTGCATCCCGCATCCGAACTGACGCTTGGTAGGTGAGCTTCATCACGAGGGCCTTACAATTTGTTTGGAAGCTTTGCGGCATTCCGAGCGTGAGGATGACACGATGGCAATGATGTTGGTGGTCCAGTTTATCAGTGTTGGCTATAGTCTATAGTATATGTCTTATGTTTTTGCAGCCAAGCTGATAGAAGGCATTCGGTCTCCCACTTTTGCAATGAAAAACCGTTCGGCTTTAATGCATCATCATGCTGCCAGAAAAGGATAGGTCTGTCAAGCGTTGTTACTTGCACTTATTTCACAACCAGGCAGGATTCGCGGTTGCTTTGGCAATTGCTTGGGACAGCCACCATCTGAGGGTTGGCCTTGGAGTGATGGGGGCTTTGCGGGAGACAGATGCCGTGGTCTTCGATTGGCAGAGGTTTGGACACCATTGTCACCGTGGTGGGTATGGGTCTTGCGGAAAAAGATCATGAAAGCATGTTGAAAAATCACCACGGAGGTCTTGCATGCGACATAAAAGGTACAACGATCAACATTGCAATTTGTGATGCTTTCCGATTCAAAGTGCAGTCAGACAAAAAAACAACACTACTGTTGGAAATCAATGGCCTGTAGAAATTGGAATGCTTGCGAGATGTGAGTTCATGCATAGTGAGAAAATGGCTGCTGAGATCCCAGTCAAATGCGATGAAATCAACGACATGGAAGAATCATGGCTGAGTGAATGAATCCATGAATGCATGACTGAAAGAAAGAAGGAAGAAATGAAATGACATGAAATGAAACAAAGCGAAACCAAACGAAACGAACCGAAAAAATGAATGAAAGAAGGACTCAGTGAAAGAAAGGATGAGTCACTGGAGGAAGGAAAGAATGAGTGAAATAATGAATGAATGGAACTGACATGACAAGAAATGGAGCGAAATGAACGAAATGAAATGAAGTGATGTGAAGTGAAGTGAAATGAAACGGAATCAAATGAATGAACGTAATAAATAGATGCATGGAATGGATGGAATACTGGAATGAGCGAAATGACTCAAATGAACGAAATTAATGAAATTAACGACATGAAAGGAAAGGAAAGGAAATGAGATAAGTGAATGAATAAACGAGTGAATGGATGAATGGAACGGATAAAATGATAGAAGAATGAACGAATGAAAGAATGAACAAACAAACGAACGAATGAATGAATGAATGAACGAACGGACATGAAATGAAATGAATTGACTTGAATTGAAATGAAATGAAATGAATGAATGGAATGGAATGGAATGGAATGGAATGGAATGGAATGGAATAGAATGGAATGGAATGGAATGCAATGGAAGGGAATGGAATGAAAATGAAATGAGATGAATGAAATGAAATGAAATGACATGACATGACATGAAATGAATGACATGAATGAAATGAATGAAGGAATGAAGGAATGAAATGAAATAATGAAATGAAATGAAATGAAATGATTAATGAATGAATGAATGAATGAAATGAAATGAAATGACATGAAATGAAGTGAAGTGAAGTGAAATGAAATGAAATGAAAGAATGAATGAATGAATGAATGACATAAATGAATGAATGAAATGACATGAAATGAATGGAATGGAATGGAATGGAATGAATGAAATGAAATGAATTGAAAGGAAAGGAAACGAAAGGAAAGGAATGAATGAATGAAAGAAATGAATGAATGAATGAAATGAATGAATGAATGAATGAATGGAATGAATGAAATGGAATGCATGAAATGGAATGAATGAAATGGAATGAATGAAATGGAATGAATGAAATGGAATGAATGAAATGGAATGAATGAAATGGAATGAATGAAATGGAATGAATGAAACGGAAGGAAGGAAGGAAGGAAGGAAAGAAGGAATGAATGAAATGAGTGAATGAAATGAATGAATGAAATGAATGAATGAAATGAATGAATGAAATGAATGAATGAAATGAATGAATGAAATGAATGAATGAATGCATGCATGAATGAATGAGTGAATGAGTGAATGAGTGAATGAAGTGAATGAAATGACTGAAATGAATGAAATGAATGAAATGAATGAAATGAATGAAATGAATGAAATGAATGAATGAATGAATGAAATGAAATGAAATGAACTGAAATGAAATGAATGAAATGAAATGGAATGGAATGGAATGGAATGAAATGAAATGGAATGAAATGAAATGAAATGGAATGGAATGAAATGAAATGAAATGGAATGAATGAATGACATGAATAAATGAATGAATGAATGAATGAAATGAATGAATGAATGAATGAATGAAATGAATGAATGAATGAATGAAATGAGATGAATGAATGAATGAATGAATGCATGAATGCATGAATGCATGAATGCATGAATGCATGAATGCATGAATGAATGAATGAATGAGTGAATGAGTGAATGAGTGAATGAGTGAATGAAGTGAATGAAATGACTGAAATGAATGAAATGAATGAAATGAATGAAATGAATGAATGAATGAATGAATGAAATGAAATGAAATGATATGAAATGAAATGAAACGAAAGGAAAGGAAAGGAAAGGAATGAATGAATGAATGAAATGAATGAAATGAAATGAAATGAAATGAAATGAATGAATTAATGAATGAATGAATGAAATGAATGAATGAAATGAGTGAATGAAATGAATGAATGAAATGAATGAATGAAATGAATGAATGAGATGAATGAATGAATGAATGAATGCATGAATGCATGAATGCATGAATGCATGAATGCATGAATGAATAAATGAGTGAATGAGTGAATGAGTGAATGAGTGAATGAGTGAATGAAGTGAATGAAATGACTGAAATGAATGAAATGAATGAAATGAATGAAATGAATGAAATGAATGAAATGAATGAATGAATGAATGAAATGAAATGAAATGAACTGAAATGAAATGAATGAAATGAAATGGAATGGAATGGAATGAAATGAAATGGAATGAAATGAAATGAAATGGAATGAATGCATGACATGAATAAATAAATGAATGAATGAATGAAATGAATGAATGAATGAATGAATAAATGAATGAATGAAATGAATGAATGAATGAATGAATGAATGAAATGAATGAAATGAATGAAATGAATGAAATGAATGAATGAAATGAATGAATGAATGAATGAATGAATGAATGAAATGAATGAATGAAATGAATGAAATGAATGAATGAATGAATGAATGAAAGAATGAAATGAATGAAATGAATGAAATGAATGAAATGAATGAAATGAATGAAATGAATGAAATGAATGAAATGAATGAAATGAATGAAATGAATGAAATCAATGAAATGAATGAATGAATGAATGTATGAATGTATGAATGAATGAATGAATGAAATGAATGAATGAATGAATGTATGAAATGAAATGAATGAATGAATGAATGAATGAAATGAATGAAATGAATGAATGAATGAATGAATGAAATGAATGAAATGAATGAAATGAATGAAATGAATGAAATGAATGAAATGAATGAAATGAATGAAATAATGAAATGAATGAAATGAATGAAATGAATGAAATGAATGAAATGAATGAAATGAATGAATGAATGAATGAAAATGAATGAATGAATGAATGAAATGAATGAAATGAATGAAATGAATGAAATGAATGAAATGAATGAAATGAATGAAATGAATGAATGAAATGAAATGAAATGAAATGAATGAATGAAATGAAATGAATGGAATGGAATGAAATGAAATGAACTGGAATGAAATGAAATGGAATGGAATGAAATGAAATGAAATGGAATGAATGAATGAATGACATGAATAAATGAATGAATGAATGAATGAAATGAATGAATGAATGAATGAAGGAAATGAAATGAATGAATGAATGAAGGAATGAAATGAATGAATGAATGAAGGAATGAAATGAATGAATGAATGAATGAATGAATGAATGAACATGAATGAATGAACATGAATGAACGAACATGAATGAACATGAATGAACATGAATGAATGGAATGAATGAATGAATGAATGAAATGAATGAATGAAATGAAATGAAATGAATGAATGAATGAATGAAATGAATGAATGAAATGAATGAATGAATGAATGAATGAATGAAATGAATGAATGAATGAATGAATGAAATGAATGAATGAATGAAATGAAATGAAATGAAATGAAATGAAATCAATGAATGAATGAATGAATGAATGAATGAATGAACATGAATGAATGAACATGAATGAACATGAATGAACATGAATGAATGAAATGAATGAATGAATGAATGAATGAATGAATGAATGAAATGAATGAATGAATGAATGAATGAATGAAATGAATGAATGAAATGAAATGAAATGAAATGAAATGAAATGAATTGAAATGAAATGAATGAATGAATGAAGGAATGAAATGAATGAATGAATGAATGAATGAAATGAATGAATGAATGAATGAATGAATGAATGAATGAATGAATGAACATGAATGAATGAACATGAATGAACGAACATGAATGAACATGAATGAACATGAATGAATGAAATGAATGAATGAATGAATGAGAATGAATGAATGAATGAATGAATGAATGAACATGAATGAATGAACATGAATGAACATGAATGAACATGAATGAATGAAATGAATGAATGAATGAATGAATGAATGGAATGAATGAATGAATGAACGAATGAATGAATGAATGAATGAATGGAATGAATGAATGAATGAATGAAATAATGAATGAATGAATGAATGAATGAATGAATGAATGAATGAATGAATGAATGAATGAATGAACATGAATGAATGAACATGAATGAACATGAATGAATGAAATGAATGAATGAATGAATGAATGGAATGAATGAATGAATGAATGGAATGAATGAATGAATGAATGAAATGAATGAATGAATGAAATGAATGAATGAATGAATGAATGAATGGAATGGAATGGAATGAATGAATGAATGAATGAATGAATGAAATGAATGAATGAATGAATGAATGAATGGAATGAATGAATGAATGAATGAATGAATGGATGAATGAATGAAGGAAGGAAGGAAGGAATGAAGGAATGAAATGAATGAATGAAACAAATGAAACAAATGAAACGAATGAAACGCATCAAAAAAATGAATTGAATGAATGAAATGAATGAATGAAATGAATGAAACGAACATTGAAATGAAATGAAATGATATGACATGATATGAAATGATCAAAGGAAGTTGGGAAGCAATCTTCCGAGTTACGGACAAATAGAACTGTGAGACTTGACATTAATGAAGGGTGGTGAAGTGGTGACAATACATCACAAATATACATCACGAAGGAATAAGGCAATGAAGGGTGGTTCAGTGTCACAATACATCACAAAAGAATAAAAGGCTATGAAGGGAAGTGGTGACGAAGGGAAGTGGTGACAAAGGGAAGTGGTGACGAAGGGAAGTGGTGACGAAGGGAAGTGGTGATGAAGGAGGGAAGTGGTGAGGTTGCAGAGGGTGCGCATGGGTGGGAATGGTTGCAGGGGATTTGTGTTGGGAGGAAGCCGGAGAGCACGAAACTTGTTTTTTTCGTGTAAAAGTGGCTGCAGGCGGCGATGCCTCCTGTGTGCGGCGGGGGAGGTTTGCGGCTGCGTACGGGCTTGCCTTTTTGCCGCATTTGTAACGGGGGCTTCAGCTGCTTTGGATGTGCTTGTCTGTGCGTTGTATAAATTAATAGGGTGTTTGGAAGCTGTGGTTGCAGATCGCATTGGAATGGCTGCATGAATGTTGCAGGGGCCATGTTTTGGGGAGGAAGCCGGAGCACGAAACCTTGTATTTTTCCGTGTAAAGTGGCTGCATGCGGCGATGAAAGGTACCTCCTGTGTGCGGCGGGTGCGGCTGCGGTTGTTCCGGACGCGATTGGTTCCTTCTATGTGTTTTGCAACGAGTGGTTGTTCCTGTGGGCGTAGTTCTTTGCGTTTCTTGAAGCTGTGGTTGCAGATCGCATTGGAATGGCTGCATGAATGTTGCAGGGGCCATGTTTTGGGGAGGAAGCCGGAGCACGAAACCTTGTATTTTTCCGTGTAAAGTGGCTGCATGCGGCGATGAAAGGTACCTCCTGTGTGCGGCGGGTGCGGCTGCGGTTGTTCCGGACGCGATTGGTTCCTTCTATGTGTTTTGCAACGAGTGGTTGTTCCTGTGGGCGTAGTTCTTTGCGTTTCTTGAAGCTGTGGCTGCAGATCGCAATGGAATGGCTGCATGAATGTTGCAGGGGCCATGTTTTGGGGAGGAAGCCGGAGCAAGAAACCTTGCATTTTTCCGTGTAAAGTGGCTGCATGGCGGCGATGAAAGGTACCTCCTGTGTGCGGCGGGTGCGGCTGCGGTCGTTCCGGACGCGATTGGTTCCCTCTATGTGTTTTGCAACGAGTGGTTGTTCCTGTGGGCGTAGCTATGCGCTTCTTGAATCTGTGGTTGCAGATCGCATTGGAATGGCTGCATGATTGTCGTCCTCTGATGTTGCCACGTGCGTATAGATACGTGCAGGTTTGCGACGTGATGCTGCAAAACGCATTGTAATGGCTGCGTCAAGGTTGCGTGGCACCGCGGCCGCATGCGTAAGACTACTCTCTTGTGCAGCTGGATCTCGTAAATCGTATTGGAGTGATTGCATCAAGGCTGCGAAAGTGATTTGTCAGCAGATTTTTTGTTTTTTTTCAATTTCGGCGCTTGTAAATTTTCCTTTAAAAATCCTTTATAAAAGTGCTTCAACATCGTCTTTTTTCTTTTTGGCGTTGAGATCCGGCTGTGGAGCTGCAATTTCCGACGCCGTTGCGCGTAGTTCTATTGTGTTTTGCAACTCAGTCTCTGCAGATCGCATTGTAGTGGCTGCGTCAAGGTTGCTTGGTGCTGCGGCTGCATGCGTAATACTACTCTCTTGTGCAGCTGGATCTCGTAAATCGTATTGGAGTGGCTCCATCAAGGCTGCGATATTGATTTGTCAGCAGATTTTCTCAATTTTGGCGCTAGTAGTTTTCCTTTGAAAAATCCTTTTAAAAAGTGCTTCAAAATCGTCTTTTTTTCGGTTTGGCGTCGAGATCCGGTTTTGGAGCTGCAATTCCTGCTGTGATTATGTACTAGAAAGTTTCTCTGTGTAAAAACTGTTTTCTGTAAAAGCTTGCTGTGTGTGAAAGCTTCTTTGTGTGTAAAAGCGTCTCTGTGTAAAAGTTTCTGTGTGTGCAAGCGCTTGCCATGTGTAAAAGCACTGTGTGTAAGTGTTCTGTGTGTAAGCGCTTGTTGTGTGTGAAAACTTGCTGTGTGTAAAAGCTTCTCTGTGTAAAAGCTTGTTGTGTATAAAAGCTGCTCTGTGTGTAAAAGCGTCTCTGTGTAAGAGTTTCTGTGTGTGTGTGTAAACGCTTGCCATGTGTACAAGCACTGTGTGTAAGTGTTCTGTGTGTAAACGCTTGCTGGGTGTGTGAAAGCTTGCTGTGTGCAAAAGATTTTGTGTGTAAAAGCTTGCTGTGTGTAAAAGCTTCTGTGTGTGAAAGCGTCTCTGTGTAAGAGTTTCTGTGTGTGTGTGTAAACGCTTGCCATGTGTAAAAGCACTGTGTGTAAGTGTTCTGTGTGCAAACACTTGCTGTGTGTGAAAGCTTGCTGTGTGTAAAAGCTTCTCTGTGTAAAAGCTTGTTGTGTGTAAAAGCTTCTGTGTGTAAAAGCTTCTCTGTTTAAAAAGCTTGTGTGTAAAAGCTTTCTCTGTGCAAGCTTTGCATGACAAAGTAGTACTGGGGAAGTAGTCTGTGCAAGCTTTGTAGTACAAAGTAGTACTGGAACGTGTTTTGTGCAAGCTTTGCAGTACAAAGTAGTACTGGGAAGTGTTCGCAAGCTTTTGTAGTATACATTAATACTGGGAAGTGTTTTGTGCAAGCTTTGTAGTACAAAGTAGTACTGTGAAGTGCTTTGTGCAAGCTTTGTAGTACAAAGTAGTACTGGGAAGTAGTTTGTACAAGATGTGTTGTACAAAGTAGTACTGGAACGTGTTTTGCGCAAGCTTTGTAGTACAAAGTAGTACTGGGAGGTGCATTGTGCAAGCTTTGTAGTACAAAGTAGTACTGGGAAGTGTTTTGTGCAAGCTTTGTAGTACAAAGTAGTACTGGAACGTCTTTTGTGCAAGCTTTGTAGTACAAAGTAATACTGGGAAGTACTTTTTTGCAAGCTTTTGTGGTACACAGTAGTACTGGGAAGTAGTTTGTGCAAGCTTTGTAGTACAAAGTCGTACAAAGTAGTACTGGAACGTGCTTTGTGCAAGCTTCGTAGTACAAAGTAGTACTGGGGAAGTAGTCTGTGCAAGCTTTGTAGTACAAAGTAGTACTGGGAAGTAGTTTGTACAAGCTGTGTAGTACAAAGTAGTACTGGAACGTGTTTTGCGCAAGCTTTGTAGTACAAAGTAGTACTGGGAAGTGTTTTGCGCAAGCTTTGTAGTACAAAGTAGAAGTGTTTTGTGCAAGCTTTGTAGTACAAAGTAGTACTGGAACGTGTTTTGTGCAAGCTTTGCAGTACAAAGTAGTACTGGGAAGTGTTCGCAAGCTTTTGTAGTATACATTAATACTGGGAAGTGTTTTGTGCAAGCTTTGTAGTACAAAGTAGTACTGGGACGTGCCTTGTGCAAGCTTTGTAGTACAACGTATTTTGTAAAGACTCTTCTGTGTAAATGCATCTGTGTCTCAAGCTTTCTGACGTGCAGAAGAGCCGAGATAAGTTGAGACTAGCTTCGGTGAGATGAGAAAGGTTGAGCTGCGCTCAGATGACATGAAAATAGCCAAGAAGTGTGGAGTGTGAAGAAAGCAGTGTGAAGCGTGAAGTGTGGAGTGTGAAGTGTGCAGTGGGAAGTGTGAAGTGCGAAGTGTGAAGCGTGAAGTGTGGAGTGTGAAGGGTGCAGTGAGAAGTGTGAAGTGCGAAGTGTGAAGCGTGAAGTGTTGAGTGTGAAGAGCGCAGTGTGAAGTGCGAAGTGGAGCTTCAATTGTGACATGTGAAACAGGACACCACTTTCGCAGAATGCACGCACGCACGGGCTTGGCTGGCGCACGGCGCATGCAAGTTCTATAGATGAGAAAGGTCTTATATATCCCTAAGGCAACTTTCGCCCCGCCTCGTGCGGGTACTACTGGTACTGGTACGAAATGAAATGTCATGATTGCATGAACTAAATGATTGGAATGACATGAAAGAATTGAAATGAGTGAAATGAGAAGGAAATGAAACGAAATGAGATGAAGTGAAACGAAACGAAACGAAGTGAAAGGAAATGAAATAACATGAACGAAAGAATGAACGAAGGAACGGAATGAATGGAATGGAACGAATGAAACGAATAAAATGGATGAAGGAATGAAAGAATGGAAGGAATGAATGAGTCAATTGAAATGAAAGGAAATGAAAGGAAATGAAATGATTCGAAATGATTCGAAATGAATGAATGAACCAATGAAATGAATGAAACGAACGAAATGAATGAAATGAATGATATGACTGAAATGAACCAGTGACTGCATGAATGAGTGAGAGAAGAATGCATGAAATGAATGAAACGAAATGAAACGAAAGGAATCGAAATGAAGTGCAATGAAACGAGCGAAATGAAAGACATGAAAGAAATGAGATGAAACAAAATGAAGTGAAATGAACTGAACTGAAATGGGAAACACAGACCCCACTATCGCGACCCCAGAAGCCACCATAACAGTAAAAACAGGTTTCGCGCCCAAAAGTGCATGTTTTCGCCCGCGAATCCCACGCTCCAGAATTGATACCCTCTTCTACCGTTCCCACCTGCGAACTGCTATTGCCGCCTCTGTGGTTGACATGGTGACAAGACTGACCGTTTACATTTGTCCGTAACTCGGAAGTTTGCGCGCTCAATTTCCTTTGATCATATTTGCTTGCTGGCGCGCGGAGAAGTTAGTCTGCACCCCAATCGAAAACCCAACTGCCACTACAGCTTTGCAAGAGCAGAAAGAAGCTTGCATGGGAATGCAAAACGTATATAAAGACTTTCGAACCTGTTCGTGAAGTGGAATATTTTTGCGATACGTTGAAGGGAACATCATAGTACCCGGATGAAGACGGCGCAAAGATTTGTATATTGCCTGAGCAGAAGCCCCCGAGTTTTAAAGGTTGTACTGTACCTTCCGGTACAGCAGCGTGCAAGAAGCGCCGTGCTTTTATACGTTGCATGCAGGCAACGTGCAAGAGTCACTCAGTCGAGTCAGGTTTGCACGAGGTCGCTTTGCCGAAGCAACAGCCCCCTTTGTGATAGGTCCTACATTGTGGAAGAGCGCCGACTTCAAGAGGACTGAAATGGCGAGGGTGGTTGAGTCGCATGAAGCCTTGGCAGCCTTCGGTCATCGCAAGTGTCAGGCATGTCAACATAACAGACATTTTGGACATTGGCATATGATGACTATAAAAGATAGCTTCGAACCGCACCGCAATTTTGCACGCGCAGCATGAGTGCAGTTGTAGCAGATGTAGGACTTGTAGCAGGGGCAGGTACAGGTACAAGTCCAGGAACTGGCTTTCAATCCCATTGAAGTCGACTGGCCCTTGGGCGCCTTCTTTCGGCCCGAGCATCTGACGCTTGGTCGAGAAATATCCACGCATGCAGGCCAGCCATGAATATTACGAGGTCTTGCAAGGCAGCTGTTTGATGTTGTATGAAAAAGCCTCTGGGTATGATGAAGCTGCTGGCCGGTGACCTTTTTGCTGCAATCCAAGGGCGTGCTCACCTCAAGGGCTTTTGATTTCTAGCTCTTTCTCCCATTTTGTACTCAAGGCGAGGAGCCGAGGTCTAAGATTCAATCGTTTTGCTCAGCCGACGCGTGCGAATTTCCAAGCTAAGCATGAAATCTGCCTCAATCTAGCATCCTGATTAGTTGCTTGACTAGCTAAGTCATCCTGGCGTCAAACTTTCGTGAAGTTCTGGTGCTGTTAATGACAGAGGCTCGCTAGTGATTTCGCTAAAGCAACGAGACCCTGAACACGGTGCTGTGTTTACAGGAAGAATCGCACGGGCCATTCCTGGAGCTCCAGGAGGACTGCAGCTTCTAGAAGTATTCAGTTGGGTGGGGAAGACCGGAGTGCGTAGCAAGGGGGGGCCTGATAAAATGACGCCCTGTAAGTGTGCCGCTATATTCTTCTTCAATACTAACCAATTACAATGTTTGCAATGGTTCTGCGTTGGCTTGCGCCAGTTTGAGCCACTCACAGCTGTTGGGCCGCTGAGGGCTGAGCACGTTTCCTCCGTGTCCCCTTGCAGGATCTCCCGGGCCAATCACGACTGCTTTGCGATGGAAACCATTGTGTCCGAGCAGAGTTTCCAGGGGCAGACCAACTGCGTCTACACGTGAACAATACAGGGCAATATCAACTCCATGCGCTCCGAGCCTAAGTTGCATACGCCGCAAAGCATCGCATACCCATGAGAGGTGACATAGGTGGGATTTTTCATTTTTGGAGACAGGATGCTGGGTTTGGGCGTCTTGCCGTCGCTTGTATTTCCTATGCTGAGCCAAGATAGTGGCCGGCACAGTAGACTGCAAGTCCAACTGCACCAGCTTGTTTTCCAAAGGTCTGCCACGCGCATCACGATTCTTTGCTGGAGCAGTCCTTCCTTGCTCTGCCCTGGATGTCTTTGCGTCCGAGAATCTTGCCAATTTCAAATTTTAATTTTGGGCGTTCGCCCAAGAATAGCTCCTGGATCTTCCCACCCGTGCTGTTTTTGCATCCTTGCATCACCTTACTGCTTGCAAATGTTGGCAGATTTTGGCAGAGCTTCTGCCCAAGGCCCTGGTGTGTGTTGATGGTCTTCGGGTCAGAGGAGAAGGAAAAATCGCAAATGCTTCAGACTGCCTGGGCCAAACTGCAAAGGACCCCCCCATCCTTCCGTTGATGCAGCCGGTTGAGAGGAAGAGGGAGCTTCAGGTTCGAAGTCATATTGATAATACTTGCATGATCTTGCATGCAAATATACATTTATATATATATATATATATATATATCTGTAAGTATCTCTGTGTATCTACTGTATATTATATAATCAACTTTTCACTTCATCTACATATCAAATATCATCCGCATCTCCTACATCCTTCAACAGCTATGAAACATCACCTACATCAACTTCATCTACATCACATATATCATCTCCATCTACAAGTCACGCATCATCCTACAACATTTTTATCACTTACAGCATCTACATATCTCCTACAAAACTCCTACAATGTTTTCGTACGCCTGTTGAACAACACCCACTGTGCGACCGAGGGCTTGTTCCAAGTACACTCGGTGTGTCAAATCCATCGGTTGGAGAAAGTTTTCCCCCTGCAGCGAAAATTGGAGCGACGGCAATTTAACTTGAGGTTGCGACTTGTAAGATCCATCTTTTGTTTGAGTTTGAGTTCCGTTTCCAGTCTTGCAGTAATGATATCTTGCTTCTGGATACATAACCAGACCTTGCAATACGCCGGTCGCAAGAACACGGAAAATGTGGCCTCCTTGATGGTCTTGATGTACTGTTAGGTTGGAGATGAATGGATGCTACCGATTGCTGAGCTACCATCTTCTTGGTGGGAGCGAGATGTGTTCGAAGCACGATCGTGGTTTCACAAGTCCTTCGCTTGGAGCAAGTTTTGTGTTCGCGGAAAAAGCTGAAGGGATGGCAGTTTGACTTCGACCTGTGACTTGCAGGTGCTTTGTTTTTCATTGCGCTTGAGCCTTCATCTAAGTGACGCGGTTCTTTTCATCATGTGAACATGCCTTCATTATCCGTACCTATATCTGAAATAAACATGTGATTTTCTCACCATCAGTCATCATGCCTCGAATCATTAACTTCATTTATCCTTCATCCTCTTTCATCATCATTCATCATCCGTCATCATCATATCTTCTTTTCCATCCTCTTTTAATCTATTCATCTATTCACTCCCTCCTGCCTTTCTTTCGGGCCACACTGTCGTCAAGTTCAGTTTATGCATGCATGTCTATTTTTGTATGTATATAATAGAATGGGCTAGCGCCCTGGTGCCGCCGACCCCCCCTATTTGGGGGGTCCTGTAGAGAGAGAGAGAGAGAGAGAGAGAGAGGGAGGGAGGGAGGGAGGGAGGGAGAGAGAGAGGGCTTGGTGGAAGCTGCCGCGAGGGATTTGGAGGGTTTTAGGGGTTTTAAGGGTTTGAATAACGGTTTGAAGGCTGGCAAACGGCAGGCTTGAACGGCCCTAACAACAGAGGGCTATGCAGGCAAACGCAGGCAAACTGCAGGCTGCAACGCTGGAACAGCAAGGGCTTACGGCCAGAGTTTGGAGGGTCTTAGGGGTTTGAAGAGTTTTAAAGGCTTTAAGGGTTTGAAGGCTGGCAAACGGCAGGCTTGAACGCCCTAACAACAGAGGGCCATGCAGGCAAACGCAAGCAAACGGCAGGCTGCAACGCTGGAACAGCAAAGGCTTACGGTTGGTGGAAGCTGCCGCGAGGGATTTGGAGGGTCTTAGGGGTTTGAAGGGTTTTAAGGGTTTTAAGGGTTTGAAGGCTGGCAAACGGCAGGCTTGAACGCCGCGAAGAAGCCATTGATCTGGCCTTGGGGCACCTTTTGAAGCGTGTAAAGGCTGGCAAACAGCAGGCTTGGACGAGAAGAAGAAGCTAGTGATCTGGCCTTGGGGTAAAGGTTCTGCCTGCGGGGTTTGGCGTGCCAAGCAATTTTGTAAAGTTTTAAAAGTTTGAAGCGCTTAAGGCGAACAGCAGGCTGTACCGCCCAGAAGAAGCGATGGATGTGGCCTTGGGGTAGCTTTTGCATGCGCGGTTGGGCTTTCCGAGAAGCTTTTGCAAAGTTTGAATGGCTGGACCGCCCAGAAGAAGCAATGGATGTGGCCTTGGGGTAGCTTTTGCCTGCGCGGTTGGGCGGTCCGAGAAGCTTTTGCAAAGTTTTAAGGGTTTTAAGGGTTTTAAGGGTTTTAAGCCTTTTAGTGGTTTTAAGGGTTTTTAACGGTTTTAAGGGTTTCAAAGCTGGCAAACGGCAGGCTTGGACGCCCATAAGAAGCCATTGATGTGGCCTTGGGGTGCTTGTTGGCTGCGGGATTAGGCATGCCAAGAGAATGTTTAAGCGTTGGAAGGGTTTAAAGCGTGTAACGCCTGGCGAACGGCAGGCTGGACCGCCCAGAAGAAGCAGTGGATGTGGCCTTGAGGTAGCTTTTGCCTGCGCGGTTGGGCGGTCCGAGAAGCTTTTGCAAAGTTTTAAGGGTTTTAAGGGTTTTAAGCCTTTGAGGGGTTTTAAGGGTTTTTAAGGGTTTTAAGGGTTTCAGGGCTGGCAAACGCCCATAAGAAGCCATTGATGTGACCTTGGGGTGCTTGTTGGCTGTGGGATTAGGCATGCCAAGAGAATGTTGAAGCGTTGGAAGGGATTAAAGCGTGTAACGCGTGGCTTGGACGCCCATAAGAAGCCATTGATGTGGCCTTGGGGTGCTTGTTGGCTGCGGGATTAGGCATGCCAAGAGAATGTGTAAGCGTTGGAAGGGTTTAAAGCGTGTAACGCCTGGCGAACGGCAGGCTGGACCGCCCAGAAGAAGCGATGGATGTGGTGTTGGGGTAGCTTTTGCCTGCGCGGTTGGGCGTTCCGAGAAGCTTTTGCACAGTTTTAAGGGTTTTAAGGGTTTTAAGCCTTGTAGGGGTTTTAAGGGTTTCATGGCTGACAAACGGCAGGCTTGGACGCCCATAAGAAGCCATTGATGTGGCCTTGGGGTGCTTGGTGGCTGCGGGATTAGGCATGCCAAGAGAATGTTGAAGCGTTGGAAGGGTTTAAAGCGTGTAACGTCTAGCTTGGACGCCCATAAGAAGCGATGGATGTGGCCTTGGGGTAGCTTTTGCCTGCCCGGTTGGGCGTTCCGAGAAGCTTTTGCAAAGTTTTAAGGGTTGTTTTATGCCTTTTAAGGGTTTTAAGGGTTTCAGGGCTGGCAAACGGCAGGCTTGGACGCCCATAAGAAGCCATTGATGTGGCCTTGGGGTGCTTGTTGGCCGCGGATTAGGCATGCCAAGAGAATGTTTAAGTGTTGGAAGGGTTTAAAGCGTGTAACGCCTGGCGAACGGCAGGCTGGACCGCCCAGAAGAAGCGATGGATGTGGCCTTGGGGTAGCTTTTGCCTGCGCGGTTGGGCGTTCCGAGAAGCTTTTGCAAAGTTTTAAGGGTTTTAAGGGTTTTAAGCCTTGTAGGGGTTTTAAGGGTTTTTAACGGTTTTAAGGGTTTCAAAGCTGGCAAACGGCAGGCTTGGACGCCCATGGGTGCTTGTTGGCTGCGGGATTAGGCATGCCAAGAGAATGTTTAAGTGTTGGAAGGGTTTAAAGCGTGTAACGCCTGGCGAACGGCAGGCTGGACCGCCCAGAAGAAGCGATGGATGTGGCCTTGGGGTAGCTTTTGCCTGCCCGGTTGGGCGTTCCGAGAAGCTTTTGCAAAGTTTGAAGGGTTGTAAGCAGTTTAAGGGTTTAAGGGCTGGAGGCATTTGAAGCTAAGAAAGACAAGTTCCACACCTGCAGTGGTCCCAGGCGCCGCCCCTGCCTTGGCGAAGGCCGGGGTCGGCGGATTGTATATACGTATGTATTTGTTTGTTGGGTGTATGTGGTTTGGGTTTAGGCAAGCTTTTGTCTTGATTTGAGGAGTTCAGAGGGCAGTACGCTGCTGAAAAGTCACAAAGAGATGCAGCTGGACTTTCGCAATCACTCCACAGTGGCTTGTACGAAACCGAATCACTAGCCCCATCTAGCGGATGTTCCTGCAAAAGTATCGGTGGACTGCTTATCCAAAAATCCCTGCGCAACCAGTTGGATTGCGAAATGGATGAAATGGATGAAGTTCCTGCTTGCGTTTCTCAACAATAAGTCAATAAGAGCATCGATTCTTGACTTGTTTTGCCGAAAGAGACCGGCAGCCAAGGGTTGGGAGAAGCTGTCAACACTACATCTGAAGCAGGCTTTACTCCGGTCCGGTTGCTGTTGGTCTCCTTTTAATTTTACTGCTTGGTATGCTAATCCTTGGTGGAAGACACAAGAAAGAACAAAGTTAAGAAGGGTTTCGCAGCACAGTGTTTGGGGGGTATACATCACACCTTCTTTGCCTCAATGGTAAGTCCGTGTTTTGACGTTTAGTTTGAACGAAACTTGGACTAAAGCAGTGTGGTGTGGTGTGGTAAGGCAACGCGTGAGAATATGAAATGGCAATCTGTTTGCCGCACGTTGATCTTGCAGGGGTGGCTGTGGGTGCTTTTCTCCAGTGGCCGCCTAGAGCTTTGGAATCTTTTGGGCTACTTGGATTGGAGCTGAACCCCCCACAGTTCAGAGGGCCCCCCCCACAGTTCAGAGGGCCCCCCCCACAGTTCAGAGGGCGCCAGATTACTTTTGACTTGGAACTTTACAGTGCGCCCCCGGGGCTGTTTTTGAAAACTTGCAGGCAAACATATTCAAATAAGGATAAAGAAAAACCACCCAATCCTTTGTTGCTCAGGCCGCTCAGGCCTATTGATTTCTCAACTCTGCTTTGTGAAACTTTGAATCGGAGATGATCAGCTCCAAATCAATGGTATCATGAGACATGGTTCATTCTGATGGACGGCATCGGACCCAACATTATGCTCTCAACCTTGAGCCAGGATTCCGCGCTCGTCCCACGAAGCAGTTGCAGCAAAAATCATGAAACGACACCGCGGCAACAACCCCTCTTTTCTTGAAGATCTCTTGAAGAAAGGCCACCCGGGAGCTCCATTTTTGTCGAATTTTTGTTGAGCTGATGGCTGTGAGAGTGCCCAAGGAAAGCGACCTGAAAGAATAGCAGGTCGAATGGCCACTTGGCAGGAGTTCGGCCCCTCGGCGGAATACAGAACACACAGGATTCGCGCGGGAAAAACACATGATTCATGAATGAAGCATGAATGATTCATGGATGTTTCATGAATGATTCATGAATCATCATGTTTGTATGTCTGTCTGTCTGTCTGTCTGTGCTGTCTGTCTGTCTGTCGGTCGGTCGGTCGGTCTGTGTGTTTGTTTGTGTGTTTGTGTGTTTGTTTGTGTGTTTGTGTGTTTGTTTGTTTTGTTTTGTTTTGTTTTGTTTTGTTTTGTTTTGTTTTGTTTTGTTCGTTTGTTTGTTTGTGATATTTTGTCTTGAGATACATGCACTGCACCCACTGCGCACTCCATGATGGTACTGATCCGACTGTGGCTGCTAACATGACTGCTGGCTCAAGACACCACACTGAAAGGGTTCCAGAGACTCCAGACTGCTTGACTGTAGAATTGTCAACTGTTAGTAGCGCTGGTGAAATATCCAGAAATTGTATATTGTAGCGGGAGCATTGACTCCAGCTGCAACTGTGAGATAGAACTGAAGCAATGGCACAACTTGGAGATAGTGGAACACTTGGTGGATGTGATAAACTGCCACTGCCTGACAAGTTCAATGGCAAGATGGAACGCTGGGAAGAAGGAGTTGGTCGGTGAAGACCTATGTAGCACTGTTCAAAGCTGAAGCTACTGAAGTGATGGAAGGAGCTGAGAACGCGAGAAATCCAGTCACTGATGAGCTGCTTGAAAGAATGTAGCGTGACAATGCACGGTTTGTAGATGCTGGCTTAGTTAGATGTGCCAGACTGGTAGTACGTCGAAACGTTGAGCTGAATGGTTTTGAATCATTGGAACTTGCTGAGCATGAGGTTTTCTCTGCCACGAACTGCATTGGTCTACTGACAAAGGTACTAGAGTTTAGGTTTCGCCCTGAACTCTTCGGACAAGACTATACTGAATGGGAAACATTGAAGGCCAGGTTTGAGAAGCAAACAGGAGCAGCACTGCCAGATAGCATTCTGGCGGCATCGCTGTTGAACAGAACGGCTGGCCCATTGCAACAGCACTTGAGGCTGAACGTGAGAACGATGGGCAGTTTTGACACTGTGAGAGATGTGATCACTGCATATTATCAGTTGTGGACACTGGAGGACCTGCATGGGCCCACACTGGAAAGGAAGTAAGGGTAAAAGAAAAATCATGAAAGGCAAAGGAAGAGGAAAATGGCCCCCCTTTGGAATGAAAGGCAAAGGAAGCGGAAAATTGCACCCTTTTGACTCGACCCACTGAAAGGAGAAGGTAAAGGTGCTGTAGCACAAGGAAAAAGACAAGAAAGACCGCAATGTTGGAGATGCGGGCAACACGGACACATGCCTAAGGACTGTGAGAACGTGGCCGCTGTGCATGATGGGGCGCAAGAAGAAGAATGTGAATATGACGAGGAAGCTGACTGGACTGACTGGACAGGAGCTGTGACGTATGACGGCTGGAGTTACGGTGAATATATTGTGATTATTTCCAGAACCCATGCTGGACTGAAGACTCCGGCTGGAGGACTGATGGCTGGTATGGTGCCTCAGCCAGGACCGTCGTCCAGCATTGCAACGAGCTCGACCCGACAGTAATACCATTTCTTTGAGAAGAACATGATATATAATCCTTTTAAAGAAGTCCAGTTGCCCTCTATAGGCAAGGAACGCCATTAAGTTGAAGCGCGGAAATGTTTCACATCCTAAATCAAAGTTGCACATCCCCAAAGGCTTCATCCCTTAAATGGAAAATGCATACCCCAAGGAACACTGCGCATGTTTATCATGCAAACATGCTTGAAAATAATGCTGTGTGAAGCATGCGTTTGATAGACGCATGATGCCTTACGAACAAGATAAGTCAAATTTGGTTAGGGTTAATCTGGATTCACCCTAAAGATCAAAACATCGGAAAAATAAACCAGATGCAGCCCACGAACCCGGATGCAGTCACGTAGAACACCTCTGTGAAACAAGTTATGGAACACTCTTATGCATGTTTCCCCTGTTGCCGTACCAGTGCACAGTAGACTGTGGAATGTGGAGCGGGGTGGAGTGCAAAGTGCGGAGTGTAAAGAAAATGGAGTGTTGAGTTGGGAATGTAGTGTGTAGAATATGAGGCGGGGATTGTGGAGTGCGTAGTGTAAAGTGTAAAGTAAGGCGTGTAGAGTATGAAATGTAGAGTGTGGAGTGTAAAGTGTAAAGTGTAAAGTGCGGAGTGTAAAGTGTAAAGTTTGAAGTGTAAAATTGTAAAGAGTAGAGTGTGGAGTGCAAAGTGTAGAGTGTAAAGTGTAAAGTGGGGAGTGTGGAGTGTTAAGTGTAAAGTGTGCAGTATAGAGTGTGGAGTGTGGAGTGTTAAGTGTAAATTGTACATTATAGAGTGTGGAGTGTGGAGAGTTAAGTGTAAAGTGTACAGTATAGAGTGTGGAGTGTGAAGTGTAGAGTGTAAAGTGTAAAGTGCGGAGTGTAACGTGTAAAGGGTAAAGTGTGGAGTGTGGAGTGCAAAGTAGTGCAAAGTAGTGCAAAGTAGTGCAAAGTAGTGCAAAGTAGTGCAAAGTAGTGCAAAGTAGTGCAAAGTAGTGCAAAGTGTAAAGTGCGGTGTGTGAAGTGTAAAGTGTAGAGTGTGGAGCGTGGAGTGTAAAGTGTAAAGTGTACAGTATGGCGTGTAGAGTGTGAAGTGCAGAGCGTGGAGTGTAAAGGGTAAAGTGTAAAGTGTAAACTGTGGAGTGTATAGTGTAAAGTATTATATAAGTGTGGAGTGTAAAGTGTAAAGTGTAAAGAGTGGGTTGTAAAGTAAAGTGCCGAATGTAAAGTGTAGAGCGTAGAGTGTAAAGTGTAAATGAAGTGTAGAGTGCAGAGTGTAAGGTGTAGAGTGCACAGTGTAGAGTGTAAAGTGTGGAGTGTAAAGTGTGAAGTGTACAGTGTATAGTTGAGAGTGCAATTGCCGAGTGTAGAGTGTGAAGTGTTGAGTGTGAAGTGCAAAGTGTAGAGTGTAAAAGTGTGGAGTCTGAAGTGTAAAGAGTAAAGTGTAAAGGGAAAATTGTGTAGTGCAGTGTGTGGAGTGTAGAGTCTAAAGTGTTGAGCCTGAAGTGTAAAGTGTATAGAGTGCAAAGTGTAAAGTGTGGAGTGTGAAGTGTGAAGAGTAAAGTGTAAAGGGAAAAGTGTATAGCGCAGGGTGTGGAGTGTGGAGTGCGGAGTGTAAAGTGTAAAGCGCGTGTAAAGTGTAAAGTGCGGAGTGTAAAGTGTAGAGAGCGGAGTGCAAAGTGTAGAGTGTAAAGTGTAGAGTGTGGGGTGGGGAGTGTAGAGTATGGAGTGAAAAGTGTAAAGTGTTGAGTTTGGAGTGTAAAGTGTAGCGTGTGGAGTGTACAGTGTAGAGTGTAGAGTGTAGTGGAGTGTGTTGTGGAAAGTGTAATGTGTAAAGTGTGGAGTGCAAAGTGTAAAGTTTGAAGTGTAAAATTGTAAAGTGTAGAGTGGCGAGTGTAAAGTGTAGAGTGTGGATTTCAAAGTGTAAAGTGTCAAGTATAGAGTGTACAGTGTGGAGTGTAAAGTGTAGGGATTGGAGTGTGGAGTGTACAGTGCAAAGTGTCAAGTGTCAAGTCTAGAGTGCAAAGTGTCGAGTGTAGAGTGTGCAGTGTGGAGTGTAGAGTGTAAGTGTAAAGCGTAAAGTGTAAAGTGCGAAGTGTTGGAGTGTAAAGTGTAAAGCGTAGAGTGTGAAGTGTAGAGTGTAGAGTGTGGACTGTAAAGTGTAGAGTGTTTGAAATACTGCGCCTGCCGCGCAAAATGACATTCCACACACAACGGATCTAAACCAAATTCTGCTCTTGCTACGCAAAATGGCACTCTCATGATGTCCCACGCCTGCCATGCGATTTGCACGTTGTCACCACTTCACGCAATAAACACGCAACGCAATTCATCTGAAGTGCTGCGCTTGCCACCAAAGTGCTGTGCGTGCCACGAAAAGTGCAACTCATCTTCTGAAAAAAAAACGCAAAAATATTGCGCCTGTCACACAAAACGACTTTCGACACTTTATCGAACACGTGAGAATACCATGCCTGCCGCGCAAAACGACATTACAACCTCTTGGGAAACCTTCGAAAATGAGAGGTTTTGCTTCTTGTCTGTCTGCCTGCCTGCCTGTCTGTCTGTTTGGCTGGCTGGCTTGCTGTGTGTCTGTCTGTGGGTCAGTCTGTTTGTCTGTATGTTTGTTTGTCTACTTGTTTGTATGTAAATACAGATGTATAGAGTTATATGTTCGGTCTTTTACATTTTTGCATGTGAAACCACACGACATGCGACCCAGGTAAAGGAGACCCTTTTCAGGCGACCGCTTTTTGCAGTGCTGAAACATCTGGGCGTTTGGTTTTTTTCATGGCCGGCTACAGGGCGAGAAGCCAACAGCCTGTGCTCATGAGTTCATCCGTGGAAAGATTCGAAATCGGAGCTTGAAACGGAACTTGCATAGCCCAAAGACGGCGCATGGGAGATACGTCGCAGGTGCTCTTGAAAGCCTCAAGATCAGTCAAGTCACAAATGTTTCCAAATTCAGGTCTCTTCGTCGTAAATTGAGAATGGGAAAAGTGCTCGCAGGTTTGTAAATTGCTAGCAGTTGTCAGCCATTTCTACCGTTTCTACCATTTCTCGTGTTTTGTTTTACCTTGGCGAGTACAGCACTTTCGGAAAAAATTGCGTGGTTGTCACATTGGACATTTACACTCAGCATGATGCATTTGTCGCGATACTAAAAGACATGTGGTGAATTGGGTTCTTTTCTTTTGGCCACGCAGTCCGCCGGTGCAAGTTTTTTTTGTTGGACGGCTTATATAGTCTGAGGCCAAAGTTGGCTGTCTCTGGAGCTTTTGGATAAGGTTTCTCAAATCAAACCAGCGCAGTATGTCTCACATATGTTCACATGCAAATTTCCATTTCTTCTGATTCCAATGTCAGGTGAGTCCTCGCTTGTGGAGCTGAAGTAGCACAGCAGAATCCCAAGGGAAAGACAGCCTGAACACTCAAAAATTCTGCCATTGCGAATGTTCGTTGCATGAAATTTGTGCCCCAAACGTCCGCAAACAATCTCTTACTGATGTTTCCTTTTCTTTGTTCACTTTGTTTCTTCACTTTGATTGAAACTGACGTGTCATAGCAAAAACCCGAAAGCTGCACTGCACCCCTGATCCTTCATCATAAACCCATTGCTGAAATAATTTCAAAATCATGTGTTGTGGATAGCGTGACTTCATTTGTTTAAGGATGCGTTTTTCATGTTGGTACCCTTTTGCTCTATTATGCTCTACTGATTCGCCGAAGCTGCGAGGCGCGCAGGAGAAGCCGGCAGTTTGAGTGCAATGTGTGTTCCTCAGCCTGACGGGCTGTCTTACCTAAATCGTAGCGAATCCATTTTCTTATGTGAAAAATGCATGTGCCCCATCCAATGTTTTTTTGGCCTCTTGTCAACATGGCCTTATTATGCGGGGGCCCGAGAAACAGAGAAGTTCAGAGAAGTTTCAAGTTTCTATGTGCCAGAATAACAACAAGTAAGTTATGTTTGTTTGATTTTGTTTAAATATCTATTGTCATGCCATGCTTTCAGGTGTATATGAATTCTTTTCTTGCGAGGAGCCGCAGCACCGTGGCATGCGGTTGTTGGGTGGTTTCCTGCAAGGATGTATCGCCAGATTTGGACGAGCCTTTCAGAAAATTGTGGTGGGCTAATCATCTTTCGGAAGCCGTGTTCTTGGAACGTTTCGAATTTGCAACTTTTTCGGGCTTTCAAAATCGAGCCAAGCGTGCAAGGTGCAGTGTTTGTCATGTTTTTATATGTTTTTCTAGCATGCGAGTGCCGCAGGGTTTCAAACTTGTGTAAGGTCTTGTTTGGACGTAGAGGGGAGCCGAAAGGACCGTTGGGCGAAAGTGATGAGAACGATGGGGTGGAGACAAAAATACGAGAGACATCGAGAAACGGGTTTGGAATGGTTTTGATATTTTGGACGTCCGATGGAGAATCTTGATGAATCTTGGCCATCTGGGGCCTTGTCTTTTTCTTGCGAGATCGACTCCTGTTCCTCTTGGGCAACAGCCCGAAATGTGCTTCCTCACCTGGATCTTACTGGAGTGGTTTTCGAGGCCGGTTTTTCATGGTTTTTCAAGGCTTCAAGGTTCCTCACATGTTTTTGAAACAGATTCACATGATTCAAATATTCTTATTCAGTTATGCAAGGAACCTGCCCCAAGAATAGGTGCCGGAATTGTTCTCCTTCAAGCAGAAAATGGTGTGCCCTGTGAGCCTTCAAGAAGGATTTCCCAGCTCGCCGAATGCCATTTACATCATTTTGCAATAGTTTACATCCCTTTGCACGATCAGGAGCCGGCTTGCCCGTCTCTACTTTCTTGTTCTCCCTTCCTAGGCAATACGTAGTAGGCCCAGCAGATTGACGAAATTATATATTGTGGCCACTTTGTGCTGTCGAATTCTGGCGTTGGCCGTGAAAACAGACCCTCGTGTTCTTGCTTTCTGTACGTCGGGGTTTCCAAATTCTGATGCCTTCTTTTAATTCAACGATGTTTTGCTTTGTATTTTCGACTTGACAAGGATTGAGCGCATATTCACGCTCAAACTGACAGCTCTGAACCATTTGCCATGCTCATCCTTGGATGTTGTGAAGGCATCAAGAAGTAAATGCTGGTGAAGGCAACCAGGGGCCGGGAGTTCCACGAAAAGGAGATCAACAATAGACGCCGCAGCAAAGCAGGTGAGCATGTTTCACACTCAGCGTGTTCATTCTCACCTGTTGAAGCTAGAAGAGCGGTTAGAAGAATGCTGGAATGAAGAAGACTTGCAGTTTCTAGAGTTTGCCCTCTGTGTTTGACCAGATCGAGTTATGACGAACCATGTTCATGGCAAGCTGCAACGTGGCATAGCTTCGAATCCCCCGGTGTCATTGCTAACGGGAAGGATGCCATCCATCAGTTTGGAGCTCTTTCCAGTGCACTTAATTATCTATTTGGCGGGATTGATTGGAAGGCGATTGCTTTAATTCAATTTAGTTGATATTCAGCAGTTTGCAAACAGATGGGCGCACGGTATTGCAGAGTAGTTGAGTGAACCTCCCAACAGATAATGATTGTACTGGTTTGTACGGCTTTTTTGCAAGAAGTGCTGCGATGAACACTCTAGCCTCTAGCAATTTGTAGCTGACAGGCCACCTTAGCTGCCTGTCAGAACCAAACTAGATGTGAGCCTGTGAGACACTCAATTTGCATGTCGCCAGCCGTGCCGTGAAAAGAAAGCTTCGGGGCAAGCAATGTCAGTCGTGTCATTTCTCAGCTTGCAAGACCCAGGACCACAGAGACATTCATACAGGCATTCATAGAGACATTCAATGTCTTGATTGAAGTGCTCGTCTCATCTGTTTCAGATGTTTCAGCATGATTTGCTAGCAGAGCTGACTCTTGTTGCGCCCACACAAGGTGTCTGTGTGTGTGGGGGTCCTTTTGCGTGAGAAGTGATGTTTTGCTGCTATTGTCATGTCTTGAGCTAAACAATGTGTCCTTCATCGCTGGCCTTGAAGATTTTCTGAGGTTGTTCATTGATTCAGAAATTATTCTGCCGCATATTTGGCCCAAATGCATTGAACATTTGCATCTAGATTCTCCTTTCTTCTTTCTGTCGCAAATAGGATTTGCCCAAGGCAGGGGTTCGCGGGGGACTCTTGGCCACGTTTGACAGGGGCCAAAAGTAAACAGTGAGGAGAATCCGCTTTTCACACGGCCTGGCAACATTTGGTCGCATGATGTCGCATGCAATGTGTGGCTTTGCCTTTGTTGAGTTTGCGGGTCGAGCTGGGTTGCTCCCGCATGTCCTTGTTGTGAGATGTGTTCGACAAAGATAGCATCCTCGCCCCTTCAGCATGTTTGGTATTGAGCCAGCCTTCCTTGCATGTATGATCATGTATGTGTATAGTTGCTTGTGTTCAAGGCACCAGGTTTTTGGAAACCGGTTTGTGAGGACAACCTCGATGATACCGTGAAATAGTGGTACTCGCAGAGCCTAATTTCTCTTTGTAACGGCGCGGCCGAGTTGAAATATGAAGGTGTTCCACAGTTGAGAGCTGTTTGATGCGACCCACTGCGTTCTTTACATTGCACAGCACGTGTATTCCCACCGGCGTTTTGCCTCCCAATGAACTGGCCAGATTTTCGAGCATGGCGACTGGTCGTCGCGTTGCCTGTGGCCAGGTCCTGAGAGAGAAAAGCTAAGGGACTCAGTCGGATTCAGTTTGCTGCAAATTCATGTTTGTCTCTCCAGTCTCTGTTGGAGACGTGTGCTTGCAGAGCCAAGCAGTATGACTTGCCAGCGTAGAGCTGTTTTTTCTGATCCAAGGTGCTGCTTTCACTGGAGCAGCATTGGTGACTGCCCGGGGACCCTATCAGGAAAAGATCCTTCTAACCATGCACTTTAAAGTCTTAGCAAATGAAGGCTGGACATGAAGCAGTTTGTGCATGCGCTGAGCGCACCCTTCAACAAACAGCTTGCCTGGCACATTTATGACATACTAGCTTTTGATCCTTTGCCACGCGGAGTCGAAGTGTGCCTTTATGATGGACTGCATCTACAAAAGAACGCCCAGCATTCATTCAAGTCTTTAACACACACTAGGGCAAACAGTTTGATTATTGGAGGGTAACTAAAATATAATATGTATAATATATATATATACAGATATATTATTTTAAATAAGATTATGTAGGGGAATCGATCTACAAGTCCTTGTAAAGAGTTTTAATTGCGAAGACCATTCATGTTATATTGGGAACCCTCGCGAATGGTTTTCTTCGAGCTCGCGAAAATAAAAACAATATTCGCGAAAGTTTCGCGAAAGTTTCGCGAAAGCTGGAAATTATGAATCATTATTGCATACATACACAACTTGTAAAGGGCTACCATCCCCGACCGGCCTGGGGTCCGGCAGGAGAAGGGTATACCGGAGAATTTCGGTTTGGTACTGGTTCAGTTCACTGTGTGGTGCTGTACTCCGGACATTTACCTTTCCCTTCGTAGGCAGCAGGCCTTCTAAAGCGCCACACCATTGCTGCTTTGGATCAGGCGGTTGCGCACCCAAGACAAAGGGCACTGCAGCAATTCAGAAGACCGATGCGAAGACATCAAAGAGGACGGCACAAGATCATAAGGAAGGACATGGAGAAGACGTCAAAGAGAATGGCTCACAAGATCTTGAACGTCCGAGGAGCATGCCAGACGAACTTCCATGAATGCAGAGCAGCTGCAATATCTTAATGCAAGGGCCTCTTAGGAAGAACCTGTTCGAAGGAAGTTTAGAAGTCAAACTTCCGACAGATGGAAAAGCAGAGGTGGGAAGAGTCAGAGAAGAGACAGGGAGGGTCGAGAAGTAGGCTCGCTAGAGCGGCGGGTGCGGAGCCATCTGGTCAGATGAGAGATGAAAAAATGCACGCCGCTGTGGCGCGAAGCACATTTCCAAGTCAAAATGTACAAAACGCACCATGTTCGGAACACTTTTGGACATTGACATGTCGAAAAAGTGCATGCCGTTGTGGCGCGAAGCAGATTTGGAAGTCAAACACACCATGCTCGGAGCACTTTTGGAATTTGAGCGAAAAAGTGCACGCTGTTGTGGCGCCGCCACGCAAATTTCGAAGTGAAAATGCTAGAAACGCCACATGTTCATGCCACTTTTGGACGCTGAAGCATCGTTTTGTGTGGCAGGCGCAAGGGATTCGGTAAGGGGTTCGGTACCTTGCCAAAGCGAGCAAAACGTGATAGTTTCGTAGCAGTTGCAAAAGCGTTGGCAGGCGTGGGACATTTGAAGAGGATCTGCAAAGATGAATTTCGCGTGGCAGGCGCAGTAGAAGAGACACATGAGTCAGACATGTTAGAAGTTCCGGGTGCTGATTTCCTCAGAGAGGCTGCATGTTGGAGCATCAGATCTTCAGGTTTGGTAAGATGATTTTGCGTGACAGGTGCAGCACTCCGTATGACCTGGCCTCACTTTCTCGTGGCCGGCGTAGTACTTTTAGACAGATGGAATGAACAAATCGCAAAACTCATTGGTACAGTACGAGGCCGTCAGCTCTGCACTCAACTTTCCATTTTTGAAGGGAGTCTCCCAGAATTGCTTCGTTTTTCATGTTGTCAACTTCAAAGTTTGAGTAAGTCTCGCAGAATTGCTTCGTTTCTGACGTTGCCAAGTCAAATTCAAAAATTGGGGAAATCCAGCAGAATTGTTGCGTTTTTGATGTTGTCAAGTTCAAAAATTTAGGAAGTCTGGCAGAATAGCTGTGTTTTCAAGATAGGCAGATAGACAGACAGACAGACAGACAGACAGACAGATAGATAGATAGATAGACTAGATAGATAGATAGAGAAATAGATAGATAGAGAAATAGATAGACAACTACAACTACCACTACCACCACCGCTACTCTACGACTACCGCTACAACTACAAATACATTACTCTTCATTAAACTACACTAATTACATTACATTGCACCAACTACACTACGCTACACTAATTGCAGTACACTACGCTAATTACACTACAGCTACAACTACAACTACACTACAGTACACTACATTACACAACACTACGCTACACTAATTGGATTACACCACACTACAACGACAACTACACATACACCACACCACACTACACTAATTACACTACACTACAACTACAGCTACCACTACCACTACACTACTTCACAGTACACTACACTATACTACACTACACTACAGTACACTACGTTACACTACACTGCATTACTACACTAATTCCACTACACTAATTCCACCACACTACAACTACAACTCCACAACATTACAACTACAACTACAAGTGCGCTACACCACACTACATCCAGCAGTTGTGGGCGAGGTGACCATTACAACCATTGCAACCACTCCAAAAAACACAACTCCAACCACCTTTCGGTCCATCAATGGATTCACTCTGCCATCCAGATTCGCAACATCCAAGCTCTCCTATAGGTTTCTTTTTTTTCCCGAGAGCCTCTGAGCGAAGGGTTCTTCTAATAGTGGGGGTCTGTCAAACATTTCCACATCTTCACATCTTCACATCACATCTTCAAATCTTCACATCTCATCCTCACATCCTCACATCTTCACATCTTCTCATCTTCACATCTGCTCGTCTTTACATCTTCTCATCTTCACATCTGCTCATCTTCACATCTACTCATCTTCACATCTTCACATCCTCACATCCTCACATCTTCACATCTTCACATCCTCACATCTTCACATCTTCACATCCTCACATTTTCACATCCCTTCACCTCTTCTCATCTTCACATCTTCTCATCTTCACATCACATCTTCACATCCTCTCATCTTCACATCTTCACATCCTCACATCTTCACATCCTCACATCTTCTCATCTTCACATCTTCACATCCTCACATCTTCACATCCTCACATCTTCACATCCATTCTCTCTTGCTCTCTTGCTCTCTTGCCCTCTTCTTTTTCCTTCTTTTCTATTTCTCGCTTAAAGCGCGGGGCAGTGCCAACGAGACGGCACGAAACGCAACCCTTTCGCACGAAACGAGGTTCCATCGCCAAAAACTGAGGTAAAATTGAAATTTTGAAGTGTCGGTCGCAATCCTTTCGCACGAAATGAAGTTCCATCGCCAAAAAATAAGGTAAAATTGCGATTTTGAAGTGTCAGTCGCAACCTTTTCGCACAAAATGAGGTTCCATCGCCAAAAACTGCAAAACTGATTTTTGAAGTGTCGGTCGCAACCTCTTCGCACGAAATCAATTCCATTGCCAAAAACTGAAATAAAATTGCGATTTTGAAGTGTCGGTCGCAACCCTTTCGCACGAAATGAGGTTCGATCGCCAAAAAATGAAGTAAAATTGCGATTTTGAAGTGTCGGTCGCAATCCTTTCGCACGAAATGAGGTTCGGTCGCCAAAAACTGCGGTAAGATTGAAATTTTGAGTGTGCCGCAACAACTTTTTTGCACGAAACGAGGTTCGATCGCCAAAAACTGAAGTAAAATTGCAATTTTCACGGGTCGGGCGCAACCCTTTCCCCCGAAGGATTGATCGTCGAAAATTGAGGTAAAATGGTATACTTCTGTGTGTCAAAAGTGTCTGTGTGTAAAAGCATCTGTGTGTAAAAGCTGCTGTGTGTAAAAGCGTCTGTGTGTAAAAGCTCCTGTGTGCAAAAGCGTCTGCGTGTAAAAAGCTTCTGTGTAAAAGCTTCTGTGTGTAAAAGCTTCTGTGTGTAAAAGCTTCTTTGTGTAAAAGCTCCTGTGTGTAAAAGCTTCTGTGTGCAAAAGCGTCTGCGTGTAAAAAGCTTCTGTGTGTAAAAAGTGTCTTTGTGTAAAAGCCTCTGTGTGTAAAAGCTTCTGTGTGTAAAAGCTTCCTCTGTGTGTAAAAGCTTCTGTGTGTAAAAGCTTCTGTGTGTAAAAAGCTTCTGTGTGTAAAATCGTCTGTGTGTAAAGCGTCTGTGCGTAAAAGCTTCTGTGTGTAAAAGTTTCTGTGTGTAAAAGCTTCTGTGTGTAAAAGCTTCTGTGTGTAAAAGCTTCTGTGTGTAGAATCTTCTGTGTGTAAAAGCTGCTGTGTGTAAAAGCTTCTGTGTACGGCGTTTGTGTGTGTCAAAGCTTCTGTGTGTAAAAGCTTCTGTGTGTAAAAGCTTCTGTGTGTAAAAGCTTCTTTGTGTAAAAGCTCCTGTGTGTAAACTCTTCTGTTTGCAAAAGCGTCTGCGTGTAAAAAGCTTCTGTGTGTAAAAAGTGTCTTTGTGTAAAAGTCTCTGTGTGTAAAAGCGTCTTTGCGTAAAAGCTTCAGTGTGTAAAAGCTTCTGTGTGTAAAAGCTTCTTTGTGTAAAAGCTCCTGCGTGTAAAAGCGTCTGTGTGCAAAAGCGTCTGCGTGTAAAAAGCTTCTGTGTGTAAAAGCTTCTGTGTGTAAAAGCTTCTGTGTGTAAAAGCTTCTTTGTGTAAAAGCGCCTGTGTGTAAAAGCTTCTGTGTGCAAAAGCGTCTGCGTGTAAAAAGCTTCTGTGTGTAAAAAGTGTCTTTGTGTAAAAGCCTCTGTGTGTAAAAGCTTCTGTGCGTAAAAGCTTCTGTGTGTAAAAGCTTCTGTGTGTAGAATCTTCTGTGTGTAAAAGCTGCTGTGTGTAAAAGGTTCTGCGTGTAAAAGCTTCTGTGTGTAAAAGCTTCTGCGTGCAGAAGCTTCTGTGTGTAAAAGCTTCTGTGTGTAAAAGCTTCTGTGTGTAAAATCTTCTGTGTGTAAAAGCGTCTGTGTGTAAAAGCTCCTGTGTGTAAAAGCGCCTGTGTGTAAAAAGCTTCTGTGTGTAAAACCTCCTGTGTGTAAAAGCTTCTGTGTGTAAAACCTCCTGTGTGTAAAAGCG